CGGTCGTAGTGCGCGCCGCGTTGTAATAGCTCCTCGGTGATACTTAATTTAGTATATACGTAATAATAGAATAATAGAAGAGAGAGAGAGAGAGAGAGAGAGAGAATTTTGCGTCGCATTGTTGTTGGAAAACGATATTTCCGAACAGTTCCGCGCGCGCGGGGCACCGCGGATGAAATCCCGCGCGAGATCGTTCGATTAGCGTGTTTCGAGGATTCGATTATGTCATCCGCGGAGATTGGCTGGAACGAGCTCTCGTTCGAAGCAATCAATTTTTATTATTAATAATTCGCCATTCACACCCCACGTGAGCCCGTGACCTATTGCGAACCCTTCCCGCGCCTCATTTGCGTCACGTGTTTATTTTATGGCGGACAAGCCTCTGTCGCGCCGTCGCAGATTCAATCTCGCCGAGAGGATTTATTTTTAAACGAAACGCTTAAAAAAAAAAAAGAAAAAAAAACAACAACAACAACGACGCGACAGTCTGCCTATCGACGCGCGAGGAAAAACCGCCATCGTCAATTTGTTCGCGGCTTTACTTGTAAACAAAGTCGGCGACGTGCACGGTCAATAAGAATGCCGTGACGCGGATGCGGCTCGGAGTCCAACGCCGTGACAGTCTATTTATCTGCAAAATGTTCCCCGTAGATAAATTAAACTGTTGCATCGTACCGACTCACGATGACGCGGCCGGGGGCTTTTTAGAATGCTACAAACAGAGCGTTGCGAATTGTTTGCATTTTAACGCGCGCGCGTCTTTCTGCCTTTCGCGCGGCCGGCGCGGAAATCTTCCCGGCGATTTGCCCGGAATAATGAGGAAAAGAAGAAGCGAGAAAAAAAAAAAACAGCCGCGTTGAATGCATCGTGGCGGTCGACGAACTTGGAGCAAAAGGTTCCGCGAGCCGCTCGCGCCGCGCCGGGCCGATACCGACGCGTTTTACCCGCTTTTCCCACGGCCCCTATTCCTTCGCCGTTCCGTCGTTCCAATCGCGCATCGTGACGGCGGAAGGAGGCCGAAGTCGTTTCGCGAAAGAAAAACTTCGTGAGGACGACGGTACGGTACGGTCGATCGTTGGTCGTAACGCCGGACGAGAATGACAAGCGGGTCGAGCGCGGAATTATTCAGAGTGACATCGATCGTTTGCTTGATCGATGGACGACAGGGATATAATCGGGATTAATGGTTTATTAAGGGGGAATGGGTTTTAGATTTTGATCAATTGCCTTTAATCCGATCCGTGTACGATGACCAACGCGAGTCAAGATTCCTTACGAAACATTCTCAGACGGTGCACCGAACTGCGTTCGGACGAAAATCATTCGCGATCTGGGTTGTTTTAGCTTCGATCGAGGTTCCAAGGGCGAAATGGGAGAAGCGTCCATCTCGAAAAACGCGTTGCGCCTCGAAAGCCGAGGATTCGTTCGTAGAAACGTTTTTCTCCGCTCGATTCCATCGAGCGAGCGATGGCGAGCGACTGGGAGAAACGGGGAGAGAACCACGGAGAGAGGGGAGGGGGGGGAGGGGAATCAAACCCAGAGTGCTTCACTCGCTCGAAACGAGCATTCTCGTTCCGCCGCTTCGCGTCGGGATCGGGATTCGTCAGGTTCCCGCAATTTCGGTGGGTTTCATCGTCACGCGGCGTCGTGCCGCGGGGGAAGCCCTTAGGGTCTCGAGCGCGCGCGCGCGCGCGCGACACACACACACACACACACACACACACACACACACACACACACACACACACACG